TCGGTTAGGGTTTCAGACCCTCAAGGACGGGTACAGGGTAAGGCGGCATGTGGGTTCATGGATCGGGAGGGAGTGAAGGGGAGGGGTTTTTTTATAGAGGGGTGGGCACCGCAGATGATTATACTGAATCACCGCGCGGTGGGTGCGTTTCTGAATCACTCTGGATGGAACTCGATGGTGGAAGCGCTGCTTACGGGGGTGGTGATGGTGACGTGGCCGACGGGTGGCGATCAGTACCCAAACGCGAGACTCTTTGTGGATGAATTGGGTGTGGCGATTCGTGGTGCTGAAGGTGATAAGCTTCCAGAGGCTAGGGAGTTGGCGAAGAGTATTCAGAAGGCTTTGGGGAAAACGAAGGAGAGAGAGAGGGCTGAAGAGTTGAGGGACGCGGCGCTGCGGGCAGTTAGGAGTGGTGGAAGCTCGCAGAGGGAGTTGGATGATTTGTTGAAGCTTCTCAACGAAGTTCACCTTGGCAAAAACGCCGCTTAAAACTTGCTTTTTCTATTAATTAAGTATTTATTCAGATTATCCGCAGCATTTTATTTTAAATAAAGTAGTTAGCTTATAATTTGTTGAGTCACGTGCATTAATGGTATTAAAATATTAAGTAATGTGTGCCTTTAAGGACGAATTAAGACAAAGTGAAGTATACCAGTAGGATGATGTTGGTTCGTATGCTTAGGTAGACTTCAAAGTGATTATTTATTTCACCGACAGTCATCGCAGGTACCATCCAAATGATTTTCTTTTTCTTTTATCATAGGTGACGTGCATTTTAGTTGATTTTTTTTCTCGCATAGCAGAGATCCCATATAGAGAACTACTTTTAACAACAATTTGACATACGTGTAAAAAGAATATTGGATCATTTAAAATATTTTTTGGCTTAATATAACCCTATTTTGTACCCAGTTTCGCTCGAAATGTCAAATTAGTCCATCCTTTAAAAGGTGCGTCAATTACGTCCCTACTTAATAAAATTTATATCAATGAAATCCCTTCCGTTAAATTCGTACAAACGGCGTTAATAAAAGAGAGAGAAAAATAATTAACGCCGTTTGTACGGATTTAACGGAAGGGATTTCATTGATATAAATTTTATTAAGTAGGACGTAACTAACGCCGTTTTAAAGGATGGATAATTTGACATTGTAGAGCGAAACTGGGGACAAAATAGGGTATTAAGCCTTTTTTTTATTAAAGTTGGCATGTACGGATAATGAATTGGATCGCGATATTCTAACAACGCCAAGTTGACCAAAAATTGACAAACGGCCACGGTGTCAAGTTTTAATTGGTCGAATTTGAATGTTTTTTTTTTAATTTAAAATCTGCTTTGGAATGGTTTGAAGTTGGATTCCGAAATGCCCTCTTCGTTTCGAACTCTATCTCTTCTTAACACTGTACTTCTCTCTCCATTTTAGGATTTGAATTTTATTTACAACTTCTCTACTTCATAGCAGTGTTCCATCCTCCATTGTTGCAGTTGTTTGGTTCGTCATCATGAAAAACCAAGTTAAGGTGTTTCTGGGTTTGAGAGGTGAGTTCCTTGCACCATGACAAAGAAATGATGTTGTTGTAATCGATTACGGGAGCTGGTAATCGTTACCAGTAAAAAATTCCTTTGTACTGAAGTGTGAAAGAGTGCCTACCCAGACTTGGCTTAAGCACTCCCCTAGGAATATTTGGATTAGTTATGACTGCCTTTGAAGGTTTTATGGATGGATCATTAATGGAACACTTCAAGTTGGAATACTTCAATATTAAACAAATATAAACAAAATAATGAAGGTGTACTGAGTAATGAAAAATTATAACAATATTAAAAAGCACATACATTAATAAAAAAACGTAATGACATTTCATGAAACAACAAGTTTTGAAATGAAAAGATAACTAACATATACAAGAAATGTAATCTAAGAAGATGTTGTCATCAAATTGATTGCGGAAGTTAATAAGTTTCTCCTCTACGAGTTGTGCAAAAAATTGTCATGACTTGAACTACCTTGGTTCAACACCTATAGGAGTTTTTTCCACCATAATTAAATGGCGGAACTGTGTTTTGATACACTTGACACCATCAATGAGGAGCAACATGTGTTTCATCCACAATTGAGTGGGGCCAAACTGTGTTTTGATGCACTTCATACATCAATGATGAGCAGGTGAGTCATCCATGCAAAAAAAATAGAAAAGATCACTTATAGAGACACAAAAACGACTTTGAGGAGCAGTGTTCATCTACCTGGGGAGTACAGTGAAGCTTGTGTACAATTACCCTTTTTCCTGTGGTAATCAATTACAAGACCCATGTAATTGATACCAGAGGAAAAGGGTAATTTTTACAAAAACTTCAAATGTACTCCCCAGCTAGATGAACCACTGCTCCTCATTCTCTATTTTTGTTGAATTTTTCCTTTTTTGAGATGGGGGGAAGTAAGTTCAATGTTATTCGGTGAGCTCCCTGCACCATAATGAGTTTAGGTCATTGATTTCTTCAAATAAAAATGTCCATTTTAGATGTTTTCTCCAATTGAGGTGAGGTGGCATAACCCATCTGTCAACTTTGACCTTGCTGACTATTTTAATCATAACTTTTTCCACAGACCTCCAATGATGTGATTCGTTTTTTATTAGAAAGTAGACTAAAATCTTTCCAATGACTACTAATTTATAATTTTGGACATCTGAGTAGATGCAGTTAATTCCTTAAAGTTAACGTTTTATATATTTCTACCACCTCTGACCTTTTCTTGTTGTTTTGCTCATACTTTCTCCACCAACTCCAAATGAGTTGATTCTTGTTTTGTTGGAAAGCTTTTTGAGTCTAGATTCCAACAAAACAAGAATCAAGTCATTTGGAGTTCGGTGGAGAAAGTTAAGAACAAAACAGTAGCAAAGGTCAAAAAACAGAGTTGGGGAGTAGTGTTCATCTACCTGGGGAGTATAGTTGAAGTTTCTGTAATAATTACCCTTTTTCCTCTGGTAATCGATTAACAAGACCCCTGTAATCGATATCAGGACAGAAATTGGCCAAAATGCTTATGGAGCTCATCTAACTTACATGAAAGCACCTAAATAACATTTTTTCTCAACATTCAATGAGCTAACATGTTTCCTCCACCATACACACTGGACACATGCACTTGTAATCGCTTACAGAGAAGTTGTAAGCGAACAAGGTTAAAATTGAGTTTTGTACTGAAAGTTTGATCTGCGCTACCCAAATGTGACATTGCGCTCCCCATGATTGTTTTTTTTGTTGTTGTGAGTGTCCTTTTTAAGATATTGTCAATGGAGGACCCTTGTGTCATGGTTGATGGTTTTCACAACTTGTAGTGTGAAGTTTGGTAGTCTTCTTTTAGGGAAGACCCATCCTGGGTGGTCTTAGCAAGCAGGTAGGTCCTGTACCATACACACTGAAGACATGCACTTGTAATCGCTTAACAGAAAGGTTGTAATCGATTACCAGGTTAATTTGCATTTTTGTACTGAAAGCTATCTGTGCTACCCAGGTGTGACAACCGCGCTCCCATGATTGTTTTTTTTTGTTTGTTATGAGTGTTTTTAATATTTTTGAATGAAGGACCCTTGTTGGTCATGGTTGATGGTTTCACACTTCTAATGGAAGTTTGGTAATGAACAATGGTGGTGTGCGAAAAACCCAAACCTTGGTGATACAACCTCGACAGTGTGTGCGAAAAACCCAAACCTTGGGAAAATAATGCCAACCACAACGGGAGACAAAATCAAAGACTTACAACCACGAAATGTCGCCAACGACAATGCACGCCAAAATCAACAAAATTCAAAACAGGGATATATACCGCCAACGAGCCCACAGTCACAACCATCAAAAATGGGGAAATGGATAAAGAGGAACAAAATCCTCGACAGTGACCAAATGACCCAAGAAACGAAGTAAGAAAGTCGAACTCAAACTCAAAGGGGAGAGAGAAACTACATTTCAATGGTGGACAGAGAGTAAGAAAAGCGAGGAACAAGAGAACCCAAACGTTGGAGAGAGAATGGATGCTTCAAATGGTGGCGAGAGATGGAAGCTTCAATGGGTGAGAGAGAGTTGAGAAAACCAAACTCAAGTGAATCTGAAAAAATAACTGCCAAAAGGAGTTTCTATCCAAATTCATTCCAAAATTGTCCTTCTGAACAAATTCCACCACTTTTTAAAAAAGCCTTTTAAAACCAATCAATGAAACAACGCCACGTGACTTGTCAAAAGTTGGCAAATATGTTGTTAAAGAAACGTTTCCTAATGAATTTGGCTTTCGAAAGTGTTCTTTCGTTTCATTCTCCCTCCATGCAAAACAAAGTTTACCCCACTGAGTTCCAAAGCCTGTGCCAACACCTCCATCTGCGAACTCGAGAGAACCGCAAGGCTCCCGAAACACACATAGATAACCGAACATTCCTCGCGTGAGTCCAACCATTCAAGGAGTTCACGTTGCGAAACGGTGCTGTTGCCTCCATGCTCAACCGGTTCCGCCGAACCGTTTTGAATCGGTATAACCGGGCCCACCGCCCAGACTCTTTTGTGTCCGAGTTCTTTCTTCATGTTGTCTATATAAACTTGTTCCGCCTCGGTGAAAGTGTTGAAAACGAAGCCCCAGGAGTCGATATTGAAGAGTGTGTTCTCTCGGTGAAGCTCCCATTCGAGTCCTCCTCTTTCGTTGTCAGTGTACAGGTGCGTGATCTGCCACCAAGGATAAACCGGGGAGTTGGGAAGGTTGGGAAAAGAAACGACGGAATTTGGGTCTTAGGGGTTGTGATTTTGCGGGGCGTCGCGCCATAGGGAATTGATGACGGCAAGACTGATGGCGCTGCAAGGGGAGAAAACGATGTGCGGCACGCCGAGGTCATCTCCGAGGAGGTGAGTCCAGCCGAGGAAGTAATCGGAGATAATGGCTGAAGGGGGAGTGGACTGGGTCTTGGCCCAGTCCACTATTAAGGGGTGGTGGTGGTGACGCATTGAGTTCATAAGGTCGGCCAGATCTTTCAAGTTGGGATTTGACAACTGGGGTTCGGGAAGGAGTAGGGTTTGGAGAAGAGGAGAAGGGTTGGTTGCGACCAAGGGATGGGTTTTTGGGGTGACGAGAACGGTGACTTTAACACCGCGAGAGAGAAGGACCTTGGCGAAGTCCAGGAGGGGGATCACGTGACCGGATGCTGGAAAGGGGTATGCCAGCACGTGAAGTGTTGCAGTAGACATGTTTGGACTTGTGTGAGTGTTAGTGTGAGTTTGGGAGATGATGATGGTTGGTTGAAATAGAATGAGCAAAAGTGCAGAAATGTATATGGTGATTTAAAATCACGTGTGCTAGAAATAAAATCGTAGTTCAACGAGAAACAGGTCAGCTGTGTAGACATTTAATGACACCAGACATTCATCACATTTAATTGTACAATTATACTGTCTTGAATATATGAAACCTTTACACCATACATTTAATGACATTTAATTGTGCACTGACACTGTTTTGACTATTCGCCCACTAGACACCACACATTTTAAGTGACTCTTATGAATGTGGTCCACGGAGACATCATGCTTTTTGTATAAATAGTTTTAAACTATTAGCCAAATTTATAAATAGTTAAAATTAAAGAAACAGTTACTTAGAAAATAAAATTCATAAAATAATTATATTAATTTGAAAAATATATTTAATTAAATAGTAAAATGTCTATCTAATCCTTCAACTACAATCCTTCTCTTCACTCTTGATGGTGATTGTTTATCTAATCTTTTCTACACTTCATCGTCTTCAATCTTTCGTTTTTAATATGACAAAACGTTGTAAAATAAAAAGAATTAACGTTGTTATTTAACTACATTCCTTGTGACCTATGGGCAACTAAAAATCTATGCATGAGATTTGTTTGTGAGAGTAGATTTACATGAACGTAGTGTGGCATAGTCTTTGATAGAGAGTAGATATACAATAATGAATAATGATATTAAAAACATTTTTTTGACAATATTTTAACATTGTCTACGTGTCATTCTGTGATTGATTTTGTCAAAAAAATATTATCAAAATATCATTGTCCTACTACACTAATAGATGACGTAGTTGTGTATTTTGGTTGATCAATGTGGTGTTGATGAGCCCTGAATGATGCTTGCTGCTTCCATGCTTGGTGGAGTGAATGTCTCTCTCAAGATTAAGTGCCACCAACACTCCTAATCTATACCTACCACAATTATAGGATCTGTTCCATTTTCCAGTACTTTTCTTTTATATAGAAACATTTTTTTTAAACCAACTACCTCGACAAGAAATGGTAAACACTTTTGGGACCACCTCAAAAGATTCAAGTGTTCTGTCTAGTCTTGAAAGGGTGATCTAGCTGTTGTCTAGCACTGTGGCTTGCTGTCAAGTTATGATCCATTTACTATTTTATTGGAAAAAAACACATCATGATTGGCTGAACATGTAAATCCAAATTGGTTGAATGGTTTAGCATGTTTTGAATTATAAACTGGCTTGTGTGTGTCAGTTTGACTATATTGTTGAATTAGATTTGACGTATATGCTTTTGTTTTCTCTTTGCCTAATTGGTTGAGTGATAATTGCATGTGTTAAGTACTAGAATGANCTCCTAATCTATACCTACCACAATTATAGGATCTGTTCCATTTTCCAGTACTTTTCTTTTATATAGAAACATTTTTTTTAAACCAACTACCTCGACAAGAAATGGTAAACACTTTTGGGACCACCTCAAAAGATTCAAGTGTTCTGTCTAGTCTTGAAAGGGTGATCTAGCTGTTGTCTAGCACTGTGGCTTGCTGTCAAGTTATGATCCATTTACTATTTTATTGGAAAAAAACAAATCATGATTGGCTGAACATGTAAATCCAAATTGGTTGAATGGTTTAGCATGTTTTGAATTATAAACTGGCTTGTGTGTGTCAGTTTGACTATATTGTTGAATTAGATTTGACGTATATGCTTTTGTTTTCTCTTTGCCTAATTGGTTGAGTGATAATTGCATGTGTTAAGTACTAGAATGAAAGGAAATGGGGTTTAACTCTGGCCACGTTGGTGTGAATTCGAAATGGAATATTTCCGGAAGCTGTAGGGTGCATGTCTCCACGCTGTTTTTGGTCCCCACTAATCAATTTGCTTCTGTTTTCTTATTTTGTGTGTTAAAGATTTAATTTTGTATGATTGTTGGGTTAAATGATTAAGTTTGGAGTCTTTTCTTTGGTCCAAAATCACAAAAACTACTTGTGGTTTGTGAAGAAAATCTAGAATTTTGTTTGACTAGGAGGACTTACGTTTGAAATGAAAGGCAGTGGATGTTACTGGTTTATCTAAGTCGTAGTGCAGTGCTGTCATTAGTTGTTTAGAGAGGTAATTTTCTTTAGACCTTAAAATTGTTAAAAGTGTAGAATATTTTGTTGGTTAGTGGTTGTAATATATGTGGTTTCGTGTAGTTTCAATAGATATTATGATGTCTAACTTTTGGAAATTCTCTGTTTCTTTTTAAACTGAGGAATAACTTGTTTCACAACAAATATTTGGTTCTGGTTAGGCTTAGTGCAGGGTCTATTTTCCTTTTGAATGTATTGTTGTTGGGGTGTTGTGTAAAAGTGTATGTTTTATGTGGAAGCTAGAGTTGTCAAATTTCACCTTTGGTCCATAGACTAGCTTAATTCATTTTTGAAAAAAATTCTCTCTTAAGGAGTTCCTCAGGTGGAGACAAAAACAAGCTTCAAACTCAAAGTTACTCTCAAGTGGTTAGTGTGAGAATTGATTTCACTACAAAATTTTAATTAACTTTTAAAAATAATATTATTTATATATATACATATATATAAAATTATATATTTTAGTAAATAGCTTAATATAGTATAATTTTATTATATTTAAATTAATATTTTAATATCATATTTATTTATTATATTATTAAATAAAATATATAACAACACTTCATATTTTTTAAGTTTCATATATTAAATAAAATATATATTTTTATATCGAACTCGTGTAAAATATTTATGTATGAAATAACACTTTATATATATTTATTATATACGACTATACCACCACGTCAAATATATTAAATAATTTTATTAATTGCTAATTTTTGTAAAAAAAACTCGAGTTATATCATTTCTAACATATCTTTTAACTAAATAGTCTTTTGTAAAAAAAATATTCATGTTAAATAAATAAAATTACTTTTCTTTATTTTAATTAGGTTTTACCTTCTTTAAAATTAAATAAAAATTTTAAAATATATAAATGACTTATTTAATTAATAAGAAATTATTTTTTCTTCTTAGGGTGTCTGTCACAAACACCTCCAATTAAAATATTTTTTTGAATATAATAAATTTCTATTAATTTTTAAATAAGTATAAATTTAAATATTTTCTTCGTATCTAAATTTTTTGATGTAAACTAATTGTAAAATTACTTTATTAAAACATAAAATTAACTTTTGTTGATGATGAAATATTTTACTAAAAATAACTATACATATTATTCCAAATGTTTTAAAGAATATTCCTATTCTTTACACCTCGTTTTCTAAATAGTGAATTGATTAAACATATTAACTTTCCCGTGTTAAATGCTATAAAAAAAACTTAAAGAGTTACAATATATATATATATATATATATGGGTTTGGTAACGCATACGCATGTTTTTCAATTGTATCGGGTTTTAGTAGACAAAAATACCCTTATATGTCATGGATTCTAAGTTTTAAGATTAAAGGTATTTTAATAATTTTTATTCTCAAAACTTAAAAAAAAACCCAAACCTTTGCTCATAGCCCCAACTAAAAAAATCAGAAACCGGTTAAACAATCTTACAAAAAATGATTTTATAATGAATTTTCATTTTATAAGTTTTGTCTTATATAATTTTATCCAATTTTTTCACAAGCATAAAAGAATTGGTAATTGACTTGGAAAAAATAAGAAATACTTGCTGTTAAACAATTTCTCACAAAAAATGATTTTATAATGAGTTTTCATTTTATAATTTTTGTGTTACTTATTTTATCTAATTTTCACAAGCATAATAACATCAAAGGAATTGGTAATTGGCCTAGAAATTGTTAGACAATTTCTTACAAAAAATGATTTTATAATGAGTTTTCATTTTATAATTTTTGTCGAATAATTATAATTTTCACATGCATAATGGACATCCGAATTGTGGGTTTCTTTAGAGATGATGATTCAAACATATGTTGATGATCAAATTAGAGAGGTTAGTGAAGATGGTGAAATTGAAGAGATCTTGAATGAACCTTTGCTTGAAGGTGAATATGTCAATGACTCAACTCTTTACAAAAGAAAATTGTTTAAGGACAAGGGTTTCTGATTTTTTTCAATTGGGGCAACACTAGGGATGAGAGAGAAAAGGTTGAAGAGAGATGAAAAAGAAAGGATTGAGAGCAATGAGAGATGTGAATAAGGGTTTGGGGGATTTGTTTTTTTTTTTCAGTTTTGAAAATGAAAATTATTAAAATACCCTTAACGTTAAAGCTTAGAATCCATGATGATATGTAAGGATATTTTTATCTACTAAAACCCGACTATATATAGATATATATATATTATATATATATATATATATTATAATATATATATATATATAATATATATATATATATATAGGGGTTTGCTAACGCGCAGTTGGTACATTTTAGCAATGTGTACCGAATTTTAGTAGACAAAAATACCCTTATATATTATGGATTCCAAGTTTTAAGGTTAAGGGTATTTTAATAATTTTCAACTTAAAAAAAAAAAAAGAAACCCCCAAACCCTTACTCACCTCTATCATTCTCTCAATCTTTTCTCTTTCATCTCTCTCACTCCAACCTTTTCTCTGTCATCCCTATCTATCCCCAATTGAAAAAATCAGAAACACTTGTCATTAAAAAATCTTAAAAAAAAATGATTTTATAATGAGTTTTCATCTTATAATTTTTGTCTTATATAATTTTATCCAATTTTCACAAGCATAAAGGAATTGGTAATTGAATGGAAAAAATCAGAAATACTTGTTGTTTAAACAATTTCTTACAAAAAATGATTTTATAATGAGTTTGATTTATAATTTTTTCTTATCTAATTTACTAATTTCACAAGCATATGACATCAAGAATGGTAATTGGCCTGGAAAAAATCAGAAAACACTCGTGGTAAAAATTTCTTATAGAAAATGACTTTATAATGAGTTTTTAATTTTATATTTTGTCGTACATAATTTTATCTAATTTTCAAAGCTATAAGACATCCGAAAGAATGGTATTGCGTGGAGGTTCTTTTAGAGATGGAGCTCAACCATGATGCGTATGATACATAGCAGATTGATGTGAAGACATGCGGGGTGAAAATTGAAGAGATCTTGAATGAACCTTTACCTGAAGGTGAATATGTCCAA